GAATGGAGCATCGGGTACAAATCCCTTTCTCATGAACGTCGTCCTCGTTAACTTCAGACTCAAGCCGATCTTTCCACAAGAATTGTCGAACTCGGCCAGCATTATAAGCGCGATGACTCTGCAAAGCGGAGATGATGTAAGAAACGGCCGTCGACATTCACTCCCATGTCTTCCCAGTTCATATCACGCCTAATGTTCTTAAGAGCGGCTCTGAAAGTGTGGGCGAGATGGTATCGCCCTGTCAAACCATTCTCTTCACGTTGAGTATGAGTTCCTTGTAGAATGGCGGAATTCCGATCGTGAAGCCAGCCAGCCGACGAAGCAACCTTATATATTGAATAGGAACACCCTGGTTGCCTGGGGCTTCAATTACCGCTTTTTATCCCGACAGTATCAGGGGCCTTTCAAGCCGACGAACGTAAGACTGAAGGGCACATTGTACTCTGGCGATATTTCAGTGATCTTGCAACGATGTGAGTGTGATCAAATGTACTGAATCCTCTCCCAAATCCTAATTGCTCGTATGGCTGTCCTTCATCTAATATTACCTGTAAATATCCTGTTCAGGGTGACGCATGCGAAAGGTTGTAGATTACAGACAGCAGGCAGATTGAGCGTCAATTGCCAATATCATCTGGATCTCCCTTCTTACGCAGCACTGCATAGTTTTTCAGGTGATGGGCATTTTGTAAGGACACCGACGAAACCACGAGTGTAAGACGCTCGTGGTTTCGTCGGTGCGTGGTTTCGCCGAATCCGGCGTTGAAACTGACAAAGACCTGGGATCGAAGGGCCTTTTAATGGATGTAATGAAGCACTGATCCTACTCCGCTTGTTTAACAGCTCGTAGTCCTCGGCTCGGGCGGGAGTGCTGTCGACGCTGGCTGCCCGACTTTATTAGCAAAGAGAAATGACCATGCTGCTTTCGAGGTCTTCACTTATTTTACTCCTCCGTATGGTCCCTGATTAGAAGAGGACCTATCGAGTTTGCAGTCCCATTTTGTAGTCCTAGAAAGCAAAACTGAAGAACGGCCGGGAAGAAGTAAGAAAGATACCTGCGTGCAACATGCGTGGAAATCGAGAGCAAACTTCGAGCCTTTATCCGCGCTCATGGGGGATATTTTGGAATCTGACAGTAGCATATTGTAGCACATAATATTAGCAAGCAAACGTGAATACAGATATCATTATCATTCGCTGCTGAAAAGCTTTAATTGCATCGCCATGAAACGTCACCCATAATTTCGGGACACCCTGTAGGAGCATGACGCCCCACACTGTAAGCGAAAATCGCAGTTGTTACCCAGTTTTTATTGGATACAGCTAAGTTCAACACAATTTTTTCGACAACAGTGAGTAGTCCTGAACGTCACAAGAATCTTCCCTGACACATACTCAGTTTTTTGAATAATCTTCCATGTAGATACATACATATGTATTTATGGGGAGGGCAAGCTTATTAATTCACATTCGATTTCCCTTCATTTAACAATCATAACTTGCTATATAGAGCTCTTCTTGTTACGTTGAATACATTCAGTGAACGTTACGGAAGAATTTAGCTTTTGAAGAGGATCATATATGAAAATGCCTTTGAGCTAACTTGATAAAAAATATCGAACTCCGTGGAAACCATACTTTGCCTCCCATTTCTCAATCTTTTAGAGTACGATACTCCATGCATTATAATTTGTAAGAACCTTCGATGAAATGAGCTGCTTTCTCCAGTTTTGTATCTTACATATCAACCTTATAAATAACCCATGAAATAAAATAAAATATCTACCCATTTTGGTGCCAAAATATTTTATATGTGGCGTCGACAAGGTTCAGAAATCGAAGAAACTTGGAACAAGCTCGTGCGATTTGATTTAGTACACTCTGAAAAAAGATAATCTGATGGTTGAATAGGAACTATTCTGGACTCTACGTTCAAACCTTCGCTTTTTTGGCTAAGGAAAAGGTTACGGATGGTAGTACTTTCCATGGTTCTATACAGAATGTAATTAGGTAGTTTCCTTCGAGAGCAACTGATTACATGAAACGGGCCGATAAGAAACCCATAACTTTCAGGCTGTTCGACGTCTCGTCAATGTGTCTAGCAGCACTTCAATCCCATGACCCTCCGCCTTTAACTGTGCTACAATTTTGTTGCTTCTCGGAATGAAATTTCAGTAATTCTGGTCTTTGATCAGTCTTCGCAGCTGATGCTTTTTCAGTCGATTAGCTGTCGTCACCGCCACTCCGGCTGGCTGATATGATGCTTATTGTTTGTTGTGCCTTGCTGGGTATGTTTTCTGCCGCCTCTTCTATGATACTTAAGTTACCTACGTTTTATAATTTCACTTATCCCAGCAGCAGTTTATAACAGTAGACTGTAACGTGACTTGCAACAAAATTCTGACAAATTTTATCTGCCGGCGATTTTTCTTTCAAATAACTGCAATGACTTCTAGGCCTTACGTTGCCCTCGATTTCCGGATCCGGTACAAACAACAAAGGCTCCTGGCAGGCGCGTGAGAAACATCTTGCATTTATCTTTTTCGTCTTCCTTTTCGTCTTTCTTATAACCTCCCATATACTGAGAATCATTAGACATTAGACCCTCAGAAACCTTTCCTCTCCTATCTCGAAGTTTCGCAGGCTGCTGAAAAAGTTGCAAATGTATCTTACCAGTTATCCGTAGAACGCTTGATGAGAAATGCGTTTCTGTGGCAACGCAACGCAATCGCTCACGCCTTTATATGAGTTATCATTGACTCATAAATCAGCTCTGAGCTAGTCGTAGTAAGCCCCTGTTTACATGGCCACAAAGCCATTCAAGAGCTTATTTCTTCCCACAATTTTTTGCACAAGTTTTCAAGGGGCTCACCAAACGCGTGTGATTGACGTTTTTCACTTTACCTTTGTGAAAAGTCCTATAATTCCTCAATATTTTTGGTAATCAGTCGAAGGCACGCTAAACTGAAACTGTATGAAGCCAATCATAAAGTAATCGCTAGCGATTACAAGGCGAAGGCTAAGTGAAAGGCAGGGGAACGTGTTACTGCGGAGGTAGTTCCGTGCGGGTTGTGTAAAGCCCTTGCATAAAAATGAAATCATTTGAATAAAGATTATTTTATGATCGTCCTGGCTCGTCCTGTAAAAAGTCATCCTCGAGTCATCGTACGACATGTGTAGTAGCTGGATCTATGTAATACCGAGACGATTCACGATTCATTCTGAGCATGACGATTATGAAAACTTGAGCGGTCGCTTTGCTCATCTCTAGGCTTTCTCCTCATCACCTTGAGTTGATTTGGAACTCTTTTCAAACTCGCTGCTCGCCTACCTCTTGGTCTCATTTCCTTGTAGTCAAGCCAAGATTGACGAAAAAGACATGACGGCAATCTACTAGGATTGCCTTTCTTCTACATGTAATTTGCTTTTAGAGTTCGATAGTGAATTTGCCAATTTTTATCATTTTTTGAAAAATTCGTTTCTTCCTAGACCTTCATTTAATTCGCTTCTCAAAACCCTGTTTTCTGCATACTTTGTGCATGATTGAAAAAAGTTTTAGCTATCTCCTATATATTTAAAGGACCCATGCTAAAGAAGAAGGAATTTCTGGAGTGGTACTGTATATCAAGATATGAATGTTGTATGATATTTATATGGGGGAATACTTAAAAAGTACAAAAGTGTTAAAGAGATATTAAGAAGTCGCTATGCGATGAATTATCTCATTATGGAGCGCCTTGACATTTTTTTCAAATTCATTACTGTGGTTATGTGAACGAAAGACTATAGTACTAAGGTGTTGTCTTACGGGCTTGGAGACTTGACTTCGTTCCCAGGAAGTGAGAGGTTAAGGGAAAAAAAGACAAAAAACAAAACAACAACAAAAACAAAAAACAGGAAAAAAATTCCGAAGAAGTTTTTTATGTCTCACCTTGTTACAAATACCTTAGTTCTTCTTCGACAGGGTTAGTAGCGTTTCACACTTCCAATTTTGAACAGCTGGTACGAAGACCAAGGGCAAAGGTATGGGTTCTGCATTGGCCAGAAAAATCTTAATGGCACCGTTCACGATAAATTTAGGGTGCCCTTTTTTGACGGGAATTGATAGAACTACTCTAGAATAAAGCGATAACAACGAAAAAAGCGCAAAAAAGATGATCAAAAAGAAATACAAAGG